TTTTTTTTTTTTTTTTTTTTTATGTGGACACGTGAAAAATATATATATATTTTTTGACTATGGATTTAACACTTATTTTTCATGTTTTAAAATTGCTGTGACGGTGTGGCAAACTGGCAACAGTGTAGATTAGTTTGTTATTTATGAAAAATTAGAAGTGTAAATCAAATCGTTTTAATTAAATTTGGCAATGGTACTAATTTTGGTAGACCTCACCATTCTCTTATGCGTGCTAGCCTTTCAATATATGCCCATCAGCTCGGGGTAGGACTTTTTACATGTTGGGTCGTCTAGCGCTAACGTGTTATAGGACCCTCAACTCTTAACCCAGGTGCCAAAATTTTATTTACGACACTTGATACTTCAAATGAAGAATTATCGACACATTCTGTTAGATATTTCTCTTGATAGATGATTAGGATCGGCTGCTTAACCTTTCTTGAAGCGTGATATTGAGTCCTTAACTTTAAAGAGTGATGTTATATGTCTCATACCCATTTAAATATGTAAATCTAGGTGGAAATAATCAATATGAAAGACTTTCAATTGACTCGAAGAAAAATATTAAGCGGTTTTGGGAAAGTTACATGCAATTTGAACATCTACATCGTTGTTTTCACCTACATAAGATTTGTAGATTTAAATAAATTAAGATTTGTACATGCAAAAGGCCGGTGGAGCAAAAGCTCTCATATGAGATGGGTCCCGAGTGTTTAAACCCCCCAAATGTTTAAACACCCACCCCCCTAACATTTGCACTGTCGAACTTTTACAGGCTTGACAGTGCAGCATGGTTCATATTGTTTTTCGATAATTGATTCGGTGGAAAGTCACTTCACAATTTCAAAAAGGACGAAGGTGGTTTCAAAATTTTCATTATTGCACTAATCATCCTTAACCATTTGATTCAGTGGAAAGTCACTTCACAATTTCAAAAAGGACGAAGGTGGTGTCAAAATTTTCATTATTGCACTAATCATCCTTAACCGTTTTAATACACGTATGGGCTCAACACGTCTTGACACATTTTCTCAATTTAAATTGTTGTCTAAAATTTTTAGAGGAGACTTGTTTTTGTTAGGTGTTCTTGATAATTAAAAAAAAAAAAAAAGTTTGACTACTTTGGTCATAGGGACGATTTTGCTCATTTTTTTAAAGGTTAATATTCAATCTACCTCATTTACAATAGGTTATAGACCAGATGTTGCAATTATCCTGATGATTTCTCGTCCGTATCGAACACGTAGTATTGTGCCAGAACACTCAGAAGAAAATACAAAAACAAAAAATAAAAAATCCTTCTCGTATTTGACCCAGATCCTCATCCAGTCATCCTCCAATGCTCTGCCGACCTAAATATAAATGCAATGTTCAATTGTTAATTGTACGATGCAGCGTGTGATGTCACCTCGATGGCGTCAGGGAAATGAGGTCATGTATTGAAACGATGGGCTTAAGCATGACATCTGTAATTTGTAAATGCAAAATCAATGGCGGTTCGTGTGTTGTCGGTAATTTGCTTATTCTTTTGTAGTTTCTTCTATAAGTTCGGCCGTTTTTGTTTACTTTCCTGTTTAATTAAAATTGAAACCTTCTCTGTTCACATCGGGTCGTGTGTGTATAATAGAGAGAGAAGATTGGCATCTAAGTTGATATTATATATATCTGTACGAACCAGACTTGGTTGAACATTTGAACCAATTGAAAAAGAAGGCGCCCAGGTCCCCCTTTTCCCTCACTTTTTATATCTGATTTTCTTTAATTTGCTGTTTTATTTGCTTTATAATTGAAGTTTTCGTATCTAGTTATAGTTAATAACCCAATGGAATTAAGCTAGACATATCATTCATGAAGCCAATCCTTAATTTACTGTGAACAAGGCTTCGCTTGTTTTTGTTGTTGCTATTTAAAAGGTGTGCACTTTATGGGATGACAACTTAGTTTCTTTGTAAGATAATTTCTTTTCGATACAGAAATGACCAACGTGAGTTGAATCGAGTTCCATTTTAAAACATCAACATTGTTAAGAGTGGTAGCTGTTATTAATCGTGATAAAGGGTATGACACGAGTTATTAATCAGGAGATTGGTTGTTTGATTACAGAAAATTGTTCTGTTTGAACCTTTTTTCTACATGATTTACGAGTACACAAGCTTGCTAATCATATGCAATGCAACCTTGTGAAAATAAAAACAATTTCATAAATCTTAAGACAATTTGTTTAATGGGCTAGTTAGCTCATTTAGCTAAGTTCAACTATCGGGTTCACACTATCAACTACAGTGGCTTTGAACAACATCCACACATTACTTGCACCCTTTCTGACATGTATATCTATATAAAATATTGATTGATATTATTCATTATATCGGATTTGATTGTTCTGCTGATTTACTATCGATGGCAGAGTGGAAATTCGAAGTTTGGGAGGCTAAGAGAGTGATAGAAAGATGGTTTTGGTTGGATGCTGGCTCGGTCAATCAAAAATATTTTGTTTCTAAATTGTAGCAACTTGGTCCCTAGTAGATGGCTTTCGTCCTTTTGACTGTAGGAGAGGCAATTATATCTTCGTTTTCAACTGAAAAGGAAAATCAGAAAAAGAAAAGGAAGGAGGAAAATGAAACAAAATCTCCCTCACCCTAATGCTGCATACCCCCTTCCCTACACCTATATCTCTTGGAGGAGCTGGAGATGGCCAAAAAATCTAAAGTGGGCATGGTGGGACGGGGGCTGTTGGTTTGGTTTTATTACCTTTACACCTAGTAATTTTTTGTTTTGATTTGAAAAATTGCAAAATATTGTAAACTGAATGTTACTTTACTGTATTCATACTTATGCTGTTTTGGAAAATAAGTAATGCGTTTAAAATGTTTAGAAATAGTATAAAGAATTTGGAAAATATACTTATAATATATTTATATTCCGTCTTCATTACCATGTCTACAATTTTAGGCAGCCACGAATGTGGAAAATCATTGGTGCATCCTGCATCTTATTACGCCTTCCTTGAAGTTGCCAAAGCGTTCTTAAAATTCAGACAATGGAATCCTTGGAAACGAAAGTTATCTCCAGTGGAATCCGGCACACCAGCCTCCCTAGAAATTACATCCGTCCTCAATCTGAAAGGCCGAAGTTATCTGAAGTTGCCGACTGCGAGAATGTTCCTGTGATTGACTTGGGTTGTGGAGACAGGAGCTTAATAACCAAACAAATAGGCGATGCATGTCGCGAATACGGCTTTTTTCAGGTTATTTGACAATGTCCAACTATCTTCTTTAGTCACCATCATATGTGTTGATGCTTAGAGCAACATATATGTGCTTGGCTAAGCTGAAAAAAAGAGTTACCTTTGAGCAACTTTTTATCTTCAAAACATATTTGGATAACTTACTTATTTCTTACTTACGCTAAAAAGATTCTGATACATTTCTGAATTAAATCTTAGCTTGCTGTCAAAATATGTAACAATTCCAATTTTGACAACAATAATTTTATTTAGGACTTACATATACTCAACTGTTCAAGCTTAGCTTAGCCCAAAGCCTCTACAGTTTCTTCATATTTTGCTGTTGTACATGTGTTATCAGGTGATCAATCATGGATTATCCAAGGAAACAATCCAGAAAATGTTAGCAGTGGGTCATGAATTTTTTAGTTTACCGGTGGAAGAGAAAATGAAGCTGTACTCCGATGACCCGTCCAAGACAATGAGATTGTCTACAAGTTTTAATGTGAAGAAGGAGACTGTTCATAATTGGAGAGATTATCTCAGGCTACATTGCTATCCATTGGAGAAATATGTACCCGAGTGGCCTACCATTCCCTCTTCTTTTAAGTAAGGCACAAAGGCAACTATTTTCCTTTCTAAAATTACTTGTATCTCGATATCAATAGTCCACGAGATTATACCTAGGAATCTTCTTAATTGGAATGGATATGTAGCGTCGAGTTTAAACAATATAAATAGAAGTATCTATTGATGCTTAGAGCAACAAACAAAGCCTTGTTTTCCAGAAATTTGGGGACTGCTACATGAATCCTTTTCCACCACTTTGTTTGTTCATTGCCTGGAGATTCAATGCAATCAGATCCTTAGAAAGTATGACTAATCATGTTAGTTTTGGTTTTCCTCTCCCTCTTCTAACCTGTTCAGCCGAGATTGCATACTATTATGACTAGGAGCCTATAAGAAAATAAAACTTTTAACAGAATGGTACTTGAATAATATCATACATTCTGCGTGTTGCCTATATAAATTTTAAAGGCTATTTGTTTTAGCAACGCTTTAGGTTATCTGATAAACTATTTAGCCTTTTTTTTTTTAGCATGATGCATCGACAAGCAATTCAAGGATGTAGATCTACAAAAGCTGTTCCTGTAATTCTTTGATCTGTTCCACAATCACCAACTGTATCATCTTTAGGAAGCCATCTTTATTGCATGCAAAAGAATATAATGACATATTTCTTGCGTTTTGTAGGGATATTGCCAGCAATTATTGTATGGAAGTTCGACAACTTGGGTTCAGATTGCAGGAGGTAATATCAGAGAGCCTTGGATTAGATAAAGAGAGCCTTAAGAATGTGTTGGGAGAACAAGGGCAACACATGGCCGTCAACTACTATCCACCATGTCCAGAACCCGAACTAACTTATGGATTGCCAGCACATACGGATCCCAATGCCCTGACCATTCTCCTTCAAGACTCGCAAGTTGCGGGCCTTCAAGTTCTGAAAGATGGCAAATGGTTAGCAATAAAACCCCACCCGGATGCTTTTGTCATCAATATTGGTGATCAATTGCAGGTAAGGTTGATCTTTGGTGCTACTAGGAAAATAAATTATTGATATAGTTAGTGATGGCAATGGCCGAGCTGAGCCTCTTTATAACTTGCATATAATATGAATTGGGATCATAACCAAGAATGACTTTCTCCAGGCTTTGAGTAATGGAAAATACAAAAGCATTTGGCATCGAGCTGTAGTAAATGCAGAAAAACCAAGATTGTCGGTAGCTTCCTTCCTCTGCCCGTGTGATAGTGCGATGATCGTTTCTCCAAAGGCTCTTACAAACGACGGATCTCTATCCATTTATCGGGATTTCACATACGAGGAGTATTACAAGAAGTTCTGGAGTCGGAACCTTGACCAGGAACACTGTTTGGAACTTTTCAAGAACTAAAATTGCTATGAGGAATGCTACGTGTACAACACTTGGTCACAACATTGGATGACGGTCTTTTAGACAGGGGGTGGAGAATGGAGTTTTTTGCCTCGATCAATGTGATCCATTGGAGAATGGAGTTGCAATCTAGAAACCAAATAACAATTAAATAATTCTCCTTGTACAACACTTGGTTGCAACATTGGATGAGCTGCTCAAGGGGGGTGGGGCCCGTGACCAAATAGCAATTAAATAATTTTTTTTGTACAACACTTGGTTACAACATTGGATGGGCCTCTCAAGGGGGGTGGGGCTCGCGATTGCTATTTGGTTTCTAGATTGCAACTCTATTCTCCAATGGATCACGTTGATCGAGGCAGAAAACAAGGTGGCTTAAATTCATAACTATGTGACCGCATAGTTATTTCTGCCATGCGGTTCCATGGTTCAAATGGGAGGAGAAAATTTCATTTTCCCGGATTTTCCTTATTTTACTAGAATTTTATTTTTATCGCAATCTTTTGTAATCCTAGCAAGTTATTTCTAGTTCAACTGGGGTTTTTTAGGCTTTTCCTATAAATAATTCATTGTATGGACAACCTATATTATTATTATTATTATTATTGAGAATTAATCGTGAGGCTTTTATAACTTTCAAATTCCTTGTATTTCATTGAGAAATTACAAACTTATCAAGACTCGATTTCTTGAGGAGTTCAAACATTCGGATTAGATTCATAAGCCGTGTAATCAAGATGTCAACTTATTGTCGGCGATTGTGTTAGTTGCTTGGTTCATTAATTTTGGGTAGAGTCCAAAACCTCGATTTATTGACTTTCTTGGGTTGGTTCTAATCTCGTTGTNCCTAAATTATAAGTGATAGTGGCGATGGCAAAAATAGTGATGGTGGAATGCGCGGAGCACAATTTTGCAAAAGCATAACAATCAAAATAAAAAAAGAATAAAAAACAGTATTTTAAAAATAAATGTACAATTACTTCACTAATATCAGTGTTTTAAAAAGCGTAAAGCGTTGCGTAGCGTAGCGTCTAGGTCGAGAATCAAGAATCACAAGTTTAAGCTTGTCAATGCGGAGAATAAGCGTCATAACTCGTTTTATATTTTTAATATTATTTTAAATATAATAAATAGATTTTTATATTAAAAAATAATTTTTTTATATAAAAATAAACATACACATGTACTATTAAGAAGTGTTCTAAATAACCGGAAAAAGCGCCGCTATAGCGCGCTTAATAGCGGCACATTAAGCGCGCTATAGCGCGTTAAAGCGGTCAACAAAAAAGATTGTCCGCTATTTTACGCGCATATCACAAAAGCGTCGCATTTTTTTCGCACTATAGCGGCGCTTTTTCCCGCTATTTAGAACACTGACTAATATACAGCCCATTAACCCAGCCCCTATAATTTCCACGTAAAATATCCATTTTTTTTTGTCAAGATACCCATTTCTGTTTGCCATGTGGTTTATTTGGTCAGTCCGCCCATGTTAAGTTCCATGATTGATTTAAAATAAACTTATGTTTGGTTTAGATTAAAATTAATATTTTAATAAATTTTGAAAGTTGATGAAATATTTAGTTAAAATTAATTAATAATTTTGACTTGAAATTTTAATTCAAACCAAACAAGGGCATAATAAACTTCAATGACTCTTTCTAAAATTCCTTGCACGCAAGGAGATTATGATTTTATTTTTAGTAATATGAATTCCCTAACGAGGCATTGGGGCTATATTTTAGTCCGTGCTTCAAAGTGTTAATTGCTTTATAAAAATATAAGCATGTTTTGACAAAGCATAGGGGGTGTTTGGGAGAGATTCTCAAATTCTACAGTAAATCAATTCTCATTTTCAACCACATATTCTTCAATAAAATAATATTTTTCATCACATCAATAAATTTTTCTTTTTTTCAACCACAT